GTCGAAGTAAGAGCTGCCTCTGCCATTAGTACAACTTCAGGCTCAAACTGAATGCAATTCGGTAGTTTCCCATTTCTCATCAACTTTTGTTTGTTCATATGTGGAATTCTGTAATTGTTACTCCTGAATTTTGCATCACCTCAATCATGCATGATTGCAATGTCAGAATCACATTGTTCAACTCTTAGTAGGAAATGTTTGAAAAGCATTCTCCACTGCTGAAATGAAGTCCTCAATTGTAGTTGAAGCCTCTTGATATCCCTCAATTGCAGTTGGAGCCTCTTTATATCAATGGTTCTAAAAAAACCAAGGTCTAAGACATTCATATTGGGACTGTTCGGAGGTTGACAACATAAACGAATATCGAATCCATCCTTTGTTGCTAATTCTACGAAATTGATATCGTTAACATCCAAATACATCTTTGCCATATTGAATGAAGATGGTCCTAGAACTTGAATAGGCCATTTCTGTTTGCTTGAAGGCAGCAAATTTTCAATCACACATGAATGGATCACATCTTTAGTTACCGACACAATAAGATTCAACTCCAAAGTCCCAGCTACACGATTCTTACTATTCGGCTTGGCAGGTTCCTTGGACACGAATGGCCATATTCCAATTTTGCCATTGAATTATTCATTTGTAGTAGCATCGAGTCATGGATGAGCAGCGGTAGCCAAAAACATTATCTTTGTAATAAACCTTTTACTTTTACATGTACGAAAGGGCTCTGTTTCATCCAGTTGGAGATAATACGTTGCGATGTCTTAGACATATAAAACCACTTTTCATCAATATGAATTTGATTATGCATGTTAACAAAAGTACGTGTAGATGCGAGGGTACTTTCATCTACCATTGATAGGCCAAATTCCAGAAGTGTTTTCTTGTTCTCTTGGATTTGAATGTGGCCATATATGTCCTTCTTTGACTCTCCTATGTACTGTTGATTTCGACATATCCAAAGCTTTCGATACAGATCTTATATTTGTTCGACGACAGAAAGTGATATCCTTCATTTGTTCGAAATGTATTTCGACTCTCTTTCGACATCTCCTATTGAATAGCCTAGAAGAGAAATCTGGTACATCACTGTGTAGCACTAAAATATTTTACGCCATGCCAAATTCTAGAAACTGATCTAGTAGATATAGAAAATGAGTTGGCAAGTTTCAAGATGACACCTTTTGCAAACTTTTTGTCTTGTCGTTCATGGATAAGCATCTCAAAAACTGCTCTTCTTGTATCGCTGGATAAATTTTTTTCTTGTTTGGATGATGCATATTGTTAGCATCTTTTGGAACTTGATTCAAATCAAACTGAAAATTCTGTGGAACATGGGAATAATTATCATTTGGTATAGGGATAATGCTTCACGTACAACCATTTTTTCACAGGAGGATTACAGAATTTCAAAAAAAGGGATGTGGCACTGGCACTGCAAGACTCCTTCATTATTTCCTGACAATTCCTACGCACCCGCGCCCTTTTATGCACCCACCCAACCAACCAACCACAACCCTCCACAGCCAATCCTTCCCCTTTTTCCTTATTTTATTTTCTCAAATATTGAAAGTATTACGTGAATGTTAAACGAAATCGAAATAGTACATCCTTAACACCATTTCGAAGTACTCACGATCTAGTTTATCGCTTTCTTAACCGCGTGCGAAACGGCCAACCGTAGCAAAAGTTACTAGACGTCGAAATAGACCGTTCCAAAATATATAAATATTTTTTTTTTCTTATTTTTATCTCAATTTCCAGGGTTATCACGGGATATCAAACGAAATCGAAATCTCGTATTGTTAACAACATTTCCAAGTACTTACGATCTAGTTTATCACATTCCGAACCGCGTGGGAAATGGCCAATCGTAGCAAAAGTTACCACTCGTCAAACTAGGCATTTTCAACCGTAGCAAATATTGCATTTTTGTATTCCTATTTTGACGAGTGTTAACTTTCGCTACGGTTGGCCGTTTCACACGCCATTAGGGATGGGAGAAACTAGGTCATGAGCACTTCGAAATGGNTCCTATTCTTAACACCATTTCGAAGTACTCACTACCTAGTTTATTGCATTCCTAACCGTGTGCGAAACGACCAACCATAGCAAAAGTTACCACTCGTCGAAATAGGCCGTTCCAAAATATATAAATATTTTTTTCTTATTTTTATCTCAATTTTCGGGTTTATCACGGGATGTCAAACGAAGTCGAAATCTCGTATTCTTAACACCATTTCGAAGTACTCACGAGCTAGTTTATTTTAACCCTAACCACGTAC